TTTCTTAATTTATGTCGCGGCGTTTTCACATTGCACAAAAATTTATCTCGTTGTAGAGAATAAGAGGGAAGCGCCATTTAGTAATAGTTTACATTGCATTTCTTGAGCACGCTACCAATATAAATCGAACAATCTCCTTTTTCAATGTCCTGTTTGCTACCTCTCAATATGATGTGAAGCCTGTTTACTTCAAATCCCTATCCTTCACTATGAACACCTCACTCTTGCTCTTATTCTTTCTTCCTTTATTCTCTCACCTTTTTGTCAGTATTCTTACCTTCTGAATGACGAAGGAACGTGACAAAAAAGAAATGTTGCGCGTTGTAGATCACAATAATATCGTAGAGAATTAGTTTCTCTGCATGTACATTATTACAAGATATATGGTATATAGATAAGTTTGTGTCCCACTGCAGGGGGTGGTAACTGCAAGGAGCTGCTTTCTACCATCATGTTGCGACCTACTGCAGGTAAACACGAACTTCATCCTACGAGGACATATCGTAGTTTAAAGTTATGCTTTCTTGCGTATATTCCTTACATATATATCTTTCTTTATATATACATATATTATTATTATTATTATTCTCATTATATTAATATATATGTATATATATATGTATATTTAAGAAAAACGCATACTTCAATCTAAATGTACATGTGTCTCACTAATTTTATCCACTTTAAATATTTTATTATCTCAAATAATATATGAATAATAATATATGAATAAAAATTATATAAGTACAAGAAAAACATAATGATAATTTTTATTTAGAAAATAATAAAAGAAATCTAAAAAATCAATTTTTATTTTTCAAAAAATTATGCAAAAAAATAATATATGTGAAATATATAAAATATGAAGAATAATTATAGAATAGATATAATACTTTTATATTCAAAATTTATTATTTCATAAATTTATTTGTAAAAAAATTAGATATTTATTTAGAGAAAATAAAATTGATTTGTAAATTTTTTATGTATCTTGAAAAAAATTGTTATTATATTTTATGCAATTATATAATCTCTATAAACAATGTTTATTTGAAGTAATAGAAATATTTAAGATAGATAGAACTGGTGAAACATCTTGTGTACAAATATCAATATAGATGTATCAGTTAATCAACACGCAAGTAAATGTCCACACATGTATATCCTAGATTCGCTACGTTTTACTTTTTCTTGGATAGATGCTAATTTTTATAATAGGAATGATGCGCTGTTCTCTCTCTTTCCTCTATGTCTCGCCAGAGCCGTATTTGTATGGCTACAATGCTCAGCACTCGCATATTCATCTTGGTTCACTGTATTATTGTGCATTTGTCAAGTATTCAATTATCAAACACAAAATTTATAAGCACAGAGGTCAAAATATTTTATCTCTGTTACAGATCAAATCCAGGTACACCGACGCAGGTTCGTCGGCCAGATTTTATAGGAGTAAACGACGCACCAACTTATTATGATGTACAGCAAGGAAATAATACTGGTATTGGTGCTGCTAGTGGTGCTGTCGTAACTGGTTACAGTCCGCAGCGGCGTTTCTTGTCAGAAAGTGAGCTTGTTCGTCAAGGTACGGATCATTCGTACTCAAGAACTAATAATACTGTCGACAATATTCGAGAATTAGCGGGTTCACCTCAACGTGGTGTCTATATGTGGAAAGATAATTCTCCAGGCAGCTATCCTGTTCCAAGTGGAACGACAAATGCAACGACACATCAGTCGCCCTCGCAAAGACCTCCACCATCATACGATTATTACCGTTCTAATCCAACAAGTCCTACGCAACAATTGTACGCTAATGCTCCTAGAGCGGCGTATCATCCTGCAATGAGGGGTGGAGTACCAGTCTTCCCACCGCATCAATCGCCACAAGTGAAGCGAAAAGCCACAATGGCAACGCCAACTACTCCAACATCGAGCGATACTCGACGTAGACCAATGTCTTTCGTTAGAGCTTTGGAAATGACGGATTCTATGGAGATGGTATCAGCGCCTAATGATAACAGATCACAACGGCCCACAACTCCAACACCTGATCGCGCTAGTGTTTACGATATGAACTATGAGATATCTGTATAGCCCACCTTTACGGTCTCCGCACCATCCTGTAGTTGGACGGAGATTGTACAAGAATTACCGTCATTGCGCGTCTCCTGTTCCAAAGAGGAAAGAATATACGCCGCTTACGAGATATCCGTCTGAATCTTCGTATCGAAGCAGCTAAACAGTCTACGTCAAATGATATTAGGTCGGGATATTATAAAACTTTTCCGGCCCAAATGTTAATTCATATTTATCATACTCTACATTCACCGAAATAATGTGGAACAAGGCCAATTATTTTCCTAAAGGGAACAAAGACGTTAAACGCAGTCATCATTCATCCATATTATTAGTGATACCCTCAGTGTACAATGCGTATCATGAACAATGTTAAAATATATTCAGTGAAATGATAATCGATAGACAAAAATTTTCTGGCAAAAAAATGAGCATTGGTATTTATGATTTTCATTGTAATTTACAATGGAAAACACATTAAGTTCAACATCGAGTCTATCGTAATATAAGACTGTTGTGTCACGTTATTAGCAAAATTTGTTGGTTTAATTATTGTTTAAAAAGTATTCGATTTAATATGTATATGAGATAAAATGTGTTTATTTATCCACAAGAAGAAGCGCTTGGATCGATGATAATTGAAAAAAATCAAGTCACAAAACCGTCAACGAAGTAATAATTCCAAACACTTAGTAATAATTGCTAAGCAACAATAATTGCTAATGATCAACTTTTGTTTCGTTTAGCAATATATACAATTATATTTTTTAGTATAAAGTATAAAGTCAATTTAGATTTTTATACCGTGACGATATGACTCAATTCTAAAAATTAAATATCAATTAATTTTCGTTCCTTTTGTTTTTCTTCTTTACTTATCAAAATATATGATTAGACAAATAACAAAAAATATAGGAATTATTTTTGCGTATTTCTAAGCTCTATTTTTACCTACAATCGTGTTCGTTTTTTGTTTCGTACAATAAATCATACAAATGAAAGTAGAGCGACAAACGGGATAAAAATCGAACTTGTTAGTATAATGTCCTACCTTTATTGATGCAAGAAGAGTTCGTGTCCAATTAATAAAACGTTACTTAATCGATTTAAGTCATTATCGGGATAGAATAACAAATTCTGTGTAAAATAATCGTGTAAAATGAAATGTGTAGCAAATTTTTAATATACATATTTAACAATATTTATACGTAAATAATAAAACAAATATAAGACTTTAACGATTAATAATTTCATTTGTTTGTTATAAATGATGATTTTATCGATGTGACCACTAATATGATCAATTAATTTTTATGAAATAAAAAAAAAAAAGAAAAATAGTTAAAAAGAATATATGAAAGAAAACTGTGTGAATGTTAAAAAAAAAAGCATGGATGGACGAATGGATGTATACCAGGAGAATATTTAAAATATTTAGATGAGAAAGCAAATGGCATGTTTCAAATGTTTACAATGATGGATGATCTAAGTACTCGATAATAGAATAAAAAAATACTAAACATGAATAATGGATTTTGTTAACAAGAATAAGGAGAATACAATTTTGTAATATATATATTGCATAAATTTATTGGTATATCTACTGCTATTGTTAAGTTTGTAATATATCCCGCTTTTAAAAAAATTGCATGTCGATTTCTGTATTATGTACTTGTATGCGAGACCAACATTACCAATTATGCAGGCTTAATGAATAATTGCGAGCTGTATATTCGTAAGGTAATCGTGAAATATTGCGTGCCCAGTTACCTTGCGATAAATTGATAATCGAATTATTATTGTCAAATAGCACATATCGTTCAGCTAAAAGGCTTATCAAACATCGAATATTTCCAAACTAAAAGGACATTTTTTCAATATCTGATATTCTTGATAACAGAAACAGTGGATATACAACAGATTATTAGAAACATTTCTTCCAATGTTGGCGCTACTGATAAAACGCGATTTATTAATTATTTCTTATTTTTTTTCGAGTTATATATATTTTTATTTTTCTTTACAATGAGCTGTGCCAAAACAAATAAACATACGTACGATTTTCCATATTTCACTCTGATTACGTAGTATTTATATAAAAAGCACTTTAAAAAAAAAATAAATAAAAATAAACGAAGAATCGGTACAACGTTAAAATGGATTGCTTTAGGGGATTATGTGTAAGATGTGACGAATGTTTAGTATTTATAATTTGGTGTACTTGTACATAAATATTAAATTCGTTATTATCACTTAAATGTACATACATATACATTTCGGTACTTACGTATCGCTGCAGCAATCTACAAAAATAAAACTCATGAAATACAAGCTAATTGTACTCTGATTAACTAGAAAATCTTTCTTTTAATTTTTTATTAGATTGATATATTTTTAATATAAAAGATTAAATATGGAATTCTATTAAAATACAAATTTGAAAAGCGCGGCACATTATAAAGTGTTCATAAAGAAGATTATAAATAGCCTTTTAAATTTATGAATGGTGATTGAAATCTACACGTGGATGCAAGTTACAAAATGTTAAAAATAGGTAACTTTAATAATTTTTTTAGTTCCAAAAAGTCATGTTTTTGAAGTAAGTAAAATTTATTGATTATGAAATGTATAGTTTGCATGCATATTTTTAGTTTAAGTATACAAATATATATCAGTATACAAGTAAAATATAAATTAAAAATCATTTTTTAAGCCTATAAGAAAAACTTTATAATTATTTTATGGTCTTAAAATAATTTAATAATTTTAAGTAATACTAATAATTTTTAGATTAGTCGTTATGTTTATTATGATACAATATAATTATAAGGAAAAAATAATATTAAAACAAAAAATAGTCGAGTAGTTTATCTTGCGATTACTTTAATATCTTCTAAAATGGACGTTTTATGGTATGGTCAGATTTTCATAGGTTTATGTAGGATTTTCAGGTGATATGGTCGTAACCCGGCGGGAATAACGACACCAGCGCCGCGTTATTTTATTGGTAATTTTGTGTATAGTTCATAAACTTTGTATATTATTCCATTATGATTCGTTGATAAAATAAAGTTCTTAATTGTTGGTGTCATATATTGTTTGCACGCAATATCGTTTAATACGTAATTAATAGTGAGAACGCGTTCTGTGAAAAGGCGACGATCTTTTAGCGGCACCGTCCGCCATTATTGGCGTTTGCACGGCGTTCAACAAAGTTTTCTGTCGTTTATAGGAACGAAACCACGCCTATAACCTGAAGATTTATACCATACTATGATGTAAGTAATGTGTATTATTTTTTAATTGTTTTGGTCTTGTTTTTCTCATTGAATTGTAACCTCGTTATTACCGGGTGTTTTCATGTGAACATAGGGCACGCAGTCGTAAAGATAGTACGGGTAAAAGCGACACCGAAGTCACTGATAAAGAAAATAAGAGGGAAAGAGGTAGAGAAAGAGATAGAAAAAAGCGGGCTGGCTCTACATCTAGTAGTGGCAGTAGGTAAGAAAATAAATAGCTTTAGTTCGTAATACTAAAAATTAAAGGAAAAATTATATCTACATTTTGTTTCTATTATTCATATATTACAGTTCCTCAGATAGTAGCTCAGGATCATCATCTACAAGTAGTGGAAGTAGTTCCAGATCAAGCTCTACATCTAGTACTACTTCTACTAGTTCAGCAAGTTCTTCTGGAAGCTCTAGAGACAGAGGGAGAAAACGAAGTAGAAGCAAAAGTGTTGATGCTTCACGTAGACATGATAATAAAGAAAAAGAAAGAGAAAAAGAAAGAGAAAGAGAAAGAGATAGAGACAGGGACAGAGATAGAGATAGAGAAAAAGATAAAAAGAAGAGTAGTAATTCTGTAATTGATAAACCAAAACCCAAAGGACGCTCTAGGTAAAAATATTAATCAAATGATATGAACAATAGTTCCATTTGTAATTTTTTTTTATTTCATTTGATTTTTCATATAGATCACCTTCACCACGTAGAAAACGTAGGGAAAGATCACCAATTCCTAGACCAACAAAAATACATATTGGACATCTAACCCGTAATGTTACTAAGGAACACATTATGGAAATTTTTTCTACATATGGTCAGATAAAAATGGTCGATTTTGCAATGGATAAGCTTCATCCAAATCAAGGACGAGGGTTTGCCTATGTGGAATTTGAAACAGCAGATGAAGCTGAAAATGCAATGAAACATATGGATGGTGGTAAATATAAAATTTCGAAACTCTTTTCACTTATTGTCTTAACAGATATCGACGTCATTTAACAATTATTTTACGATATTTACAGGACAGATAGATGGCCAAGAAATTACTGCTGCCCCAGTATTATTACCAAAACCACGACCATTACCGATGCGGAGAATGTCACCTTTAATGGGAAGAAGAGCACCCCCACGATGGGGTGGTGGTGGTAGAAATACTCCTCCTCGTTATCGTAGACGTTCGCCACCAATTAATCGTCGTAGAAGCCCACGGCCACCAAGACGTAGACCAAGAACTCGATCGCGAAGTCCCCCAAATAATCCACGACATCGGCATCGTCGCTACACGAGATCAAGCTCAAGCAGTTCTCGATAGCAACTTTTTTTGTACATATAAAATAAGAACTGAATTTGACCAAACTCAGTTCATCCTGGTTGGTCGTCTTAATATATTAAGCAATTTTTACCGATTCATTCGATCATATTGACAGGGAAGTGTATGCACTCAAAAATTTAATACACTTGTTCACAACGGTGTTTATGACAATTCACGTTTTTGTCGATGATTAAAACACCGTTCGTGATCTGCAAGTTCTGCTTTTGAAATATATCAATTTCACACGTGATAAGTATATTGCTATTAATTGGTACCTGAAGGCTGATGACCCCGGATGAAAAATATGTATTCTTAAACATTGTCACATGATCGTATTAAATATAAGGCATGAAGACTTCAGAAGAAATATTATTTACCAATAAGTACGTAATGTAAGCATAATTATTTAGAGAAATACAAATAATTAAAAATTTGTCATGAAATATAGTGGCAGTGTCTATTTATAAATGATTGACATTTTTTTTCTGAGGTCTTTATGAATTGTAAAATGTTTCAGGCTTGGTAGAAGTACTAGAAACGACAGATTTGATAGAAACTATGATTATTAGACCCTTTTACAAAGAATCAATTTTAGAAAAAACCTATTCACACAAAATCCTCTTTTATACTTCGCGATATCTACAAGAACAGAATCATTGCATCACATTGCAATCTTGTATCGATGAAAAATATCTACAATTTTTAAATTGCATATGGTCGTTAATTATATAATAATATACATTTTTTAAGATGACTTTACAGTATAAACGAAACAATTTAAAGAGCCTGATTACTTGACAGAAGTAAGTATATTTTTGAAGGCACCAGGATTTTCGAATTTAGCCTGGTCCATGGCACGAATATTTTACTTTTTTTTCTTTTCTTTTCAAGAGAGATCTCAAATTAGTTCTCTCTAACATAACGACGTATATGGCTGATAAATTGAGAGGACGATGAAACAAGGATACAAAACATTTTTTTTTTTTCAATTTCGATAGGTACAAAATCAGAAATTGCAATATCTTTACATAATATTAATTTTTGATTTAAGCACTTTGGCACGGACAAACTGCTTTTATATTTGTTTCTTCATAATTTCTCAACAAATAAGAATTTTTTTTTTGTTTTATTTTATTGAAAAATGTATTGTAGTAAACAAATCCCTGCTTTATAATTCATAAATTTATAATTCATAAAAAAAATTGATTTATAATTTATATCTATTATTTTTTTTTACAAATATGATGGAAAACAATTGCAATTTTTTAAATAATCTTACATTTTATATCAC